AGGGAGCATCTCAAATGATGCAGCAGATCTCTTCTGTCTCGCCCGCTGCTCCCCTCAGCAGATCTCCCTGTTCTGCTCCCCACTCTCTCTGGTGACTCCTCTCACCCCCTGTACTTCTGGCTTACACCCCAGTTCTTGTATGCATAAATAAATAAATCTTAAAAATAACTGTGATACATCTATACACTATTTTGCTATTAAAAGAGATCAAGTCTTACTATTTGTGAAAGCAATAGACAGAATTAAAGGGGCCTGTGCTAAGTAAATAAATTAGATGGAGAAAGATAGAAATATAATATAGAGGAATTAAACAACAGAACAGGAAAATCAAATCAAAGACAAACCCTAGAAATCTGACTGTGGAATTGGAACTAGCAGAGGGGGAGGGAGTGGGTAACAAAAGGGCGGGAACAATGGACCATATTGTGAAGGACTATAGGCACATAGGGAGTGGATATTATAACACACATGTGAGGATCCAGGGACATATACCTCAGAAGCATACACAGTGTAGTAAGCCAAGGTTATCAAAAAGCAAAACAAAACAAAATTAACAAAAAAAATAAAATAAAAGCAAAATTTCCTATTACTAGACTGAAAAATGACACCCCTTCAACAATAATGCCCATGGCAATATAACAGAGGATTTAGCTGATATCTTCAAGTAGAAGGTAACTAGGCCACACCAGTTGGCTTGGCAGGTTCCTGGGGATTTTATACTTAACATAGGAAAAGACGCCCCAACTTAGAAACAAAACCACTTATGCACTAATGGAGAAATATCACATTAATTTTGCTTTTCAAGTACATCTAATTTAATTTTTGTAAGTCAATAAGGGGAAAATATACATTTCATTGTATATGGGCAAATACTCTAATAACACAATTTCTAACAATTTCTTGAATATTACTAATCTTTCATATTTTGATTATTCAAAAATTAGTATGAATAAAAACATAGAATTTCTGCCAGTTTTAAATAAGGTAAAAAATGGATCATATTAATTTATTTTGCTAGTATTTTACTTCTCTCCTTTTTTTAAAGATTTATTTATTTATGCATATAAGAACTGGAGTGTAGGTCAGAGGTGTGGGGTGAGGGAGAGTGAGAGGATTCGCTAGAGACAGAGTGGGGAGCAGAACAGGCAGATCTACTAAAATACACTGCAGAGGGGAGCAGTGGACGAGACAGGAAAGGTCTGCTGTGCCATGTGGGTTAGCTCCCTGGCTGGGGATCGAGCTCATGCTATAGTGACTGGGGATAGCTTGATAGTACTGTGTCTTTAAGCCCCTTGCCACCAGGGAAGCCCTTTTCTTCTCTCTTGACCAAAAAGAAAAAAAAAATTTAGCATAATCTTTATCTTTCCATCACCAGGATCTGATATTTCAATTTTTACTAAATGATTTGAATTGGAGGAGAAAGCCGAGTGGGAACTGGACTGGTCAGAAGAGTCACTTCCATCCATGAGCAGTGTGGTCCATTTTCACCTGAGTGTCGTATATATCTCTTTTTTTTTTTTTTCAGATTTATACTTTTATTTATGTATGCATACAAGGACTAGGATCTAGGCCAGAGGTATGGGAGTTGAGAAGATTCACTAGAGACAGATAGGAGAGCAGAACATGCAGATCTGCTGAAATATACTTCTGAGGGGAGCAGCAGGCTAGACAGGAGGAGACGGCTGTGCCCTGTAGGTCAGCTCTCTAGCTGGGATCAAAGGCAGGTCATAGCATGATAGCTTGATAGTGCTGAGGTTTAACACCTGCAACACCAGGGAGGCCCTGTCATATACACCTTACTGTATTCCCTGTGTCCTATGCTGTGAAATGCTTGGGAAATCCTGCCTTAGGGACTGTTTTGTTTTTAGAAATTCAATTTAGAAATTCAACTCCTCAGTGAGCAGTATAGAGCAGGTGACATTTCCAGAGCTTTGTCAATCAGGAAACCACTTCCTCAACTTTATACTCACGCTTTTGACTGTGTGCACTGAGCCAAAATGCATCATAAAATGCACAGAGAATGACTTTAAGAACAAGTGCCTCTGGGGTATAAAAACATTTTGCATGTCATGCTTTTAAGATTTGTAGACTTACTGATGATGATCCCTGCTAGTATTTAAAATTTACTCAATTAAAATAGTCAAAACATAAACCTTAAAGCATAATCAAATGTTAAAAGATTTTCATAATAAGATGGCATTTTGACTTTGAACATTATATTACATTTTATTTTGTTTTGTGATTTTGTACAAAATGTTTTTCAAACTTCTGATGTGAATTCATATTACTTTAATAATCTGAAAACATAAATGTGTATTTAAGAAAAAAATACTTTACCTCTGAACCGATAAAATGGAAAGGTTTTATAATTATTCTACAAACTTCAATGGTATAAAGTTGTCATTAAATGTTTACATTTGGCTAGAATGCAATCAAATTTTGTCCACAAGCATGGTGAATAGCAATGACAATAAGCAATTAAAATGCAAATATACTCATTTCCACCTTACACACACCTATTTATATTTTCTTTCATATTGAGGATAACATCAGTATGTTAGGGAAAATTAAGCATAAGTTAGATTTGTTTCTTAACTCATTGAGGTTTGAAAATAGGCACTATATTTTTGTATCTATCCCTCCTCAATAAGACTATCTTATATAACCAGGTGAAAATAGCAAAAGTATCAGCAGAATGAGAGCTCCCACCTATATACTATGGTTGACCTCTACCTCTTTAATGTTTTTCAAGTAGATTTTATCAGTGACTTAAGTATCTCTGTCAAATAACTTTTGTAGACTTACTGACTTACAATGGCCAAATCAAATTTTCTCCTCTTCTAAGTGTCATGAGAGCCACTCTCCTTTGCTAATCTCAAGGAAACTTTTGTGACTGACCAAAGACTATGTCTGTCTATAAATCATTTAATCTATTTATTTTTATTTATTTTAGTTTTGCATAGAAGAATTGGGGTGTAGGCCAGAGGTGCTGGGTGGTTAGAAGATTTACCAGAGCCAGAGTGGGGAGCAGAACAGGTGGATCAACTGAAATACACTGCTAAGGGGAGTAGCAGGTGAGACATGGGAGGTCTGCGGTGCCTTATTAGCCAGGATGGAATTCAGGCCAGAATGATAATGTTGCTGAGACTTAACCCCTAGGCTAGCTGGAAGGCCCATATAAATCATGTAATTTTTTTTTAAAAGCAGGAATTTGGGGTAAAAATCACATAGGATAGTGATCATACCCCACCTCATTTATGTAATACAGTTCTTAGGGAATTGCTTAGCTCATTATAAAGTATGCGGTTTTATTTATTTTTTTATTTTTTTAAGATTTATTTATTTATTTATACAAGAACTGGGGTACAGGCCAGAGGTGCCAGAGGGTGAGAGAATTTACCAGAGACAGAGCGGGGAGTAGAGCAGGCTGAATGACTGAAAACACTGCTGAGGGGAGCAGCGGGCAAGACAGGAGAGGTTTGCCTCGCCATGCAGGTTTCTCCCTGGCTGGCTAGGAATTGAACCCTCACTGCAGAGGCTGCGGACAGCTTCACAGTGCTGTGCTCAACCTGCTGCGCCACCAGGGAGGCCCTAAAGTATGTGGTTTTAAAAGTCATACCAAACCTCACTGCCTATAAACATGTATACAGCATTGTCAACTTTAAATGCATCAGTTTATTATATGAGACAAGATTAAAATTATAGAGGCAGTTGTTAAAAAATTTTAAGCAAGTAAATTTGGAAGTAATTTGTTTAATTTTACAAAACAATATTATAAAGTTGGTGGTATGATCATAAGTTTCTATTAACATCATATTTTTATATTATTTACTAATAGAAACTCCAATCAGTTCAGAAATATTTGATTAAAATTTTAACTTTGGTACCAAAAACTCACTTCACATCTCCTAATCCTTGTTTGAGAAGAGAATATCTTTTCTTGGGGGAAGATTCAGAAAGTCTTTTCAGATCTTAGATAGAAATTTTATAGCTGGTCATTCTTTTTTTAAAGATTTTTTTTTTTTTAAGATTTAGTTATTTATTCATACTAAGAACCGGGGTACAGGCCAGATGCGTGGGAGGGTGAGAGGATTCACCAGAGACAAAGCGGGGAACAGAACAGGCAGACTGATGAAATATACTGTGTGGGGAGCAGCGGGCGAGACAGGAGAGGTCTGCTTGCCATGTGGGACCCTTGCCGGCCGACAGGGACCAAACCAGAGCCGCAGAAGCTGCAGACAGCTTCACAGTGCAACACTCAACCGCCTGCGCCACCAGGGGAGGCGCTCTAGCTGGTCATTCTTAACTGCATTTTATGTCTTTTGATCTGTTGCTAAGTCTTATTGTTTCTTTCTTTGGATTTTTAAATTTTTTACGTTTTCACATAATTTCCTCAGTTGTAAGCTAGGTCAGACTGCATTTTCCTAAATGTCTGGATGACCACAACATTCCCTGACATACATTCACTAATGGGTCTCCTTGCTCTTAGCCACAGGATTACTGGACCAATGACTGAGCGCTGATGCACAAACCACCAGGCATGAACGGCTTGGCAGGACCCCTGTCTTGAAGGCTGAGTGGCCGTGGCGCTTTCTGGCCCTGTTGCCCACGTGGTTAGCTTGTGCTCCTCTCCCAAATTGGCAGAGAATTGGGAATTCCTGCCAGCCTCCCTAGCATGCTCCCTGCAGGTAGCCGTTGCCCCGGCACTAGCCATGTTTGAGTCCCAGCTCCACTAAGGCACCTACAATGGTGGCAGCTGCTACCCAGAGCACTAACTCTGGGCTGCCCTGAAGGGCAGGGAGGTTTCAAAAGAACTACAGGAAGGCCCCTTCATTGGGTTAGGGTTGTTGGTCTGCCCCTCACTAGCCAGGTTTGATCATAAGAGCACCCTTGCTTAGGGCTCTGGTGGCTAACCCCAGAAGCTGCTTGCCAACAGTAGCAAGTGGCAGCTGTTGGTAGGCATTTTACTGCCCACCACCAGTGGCTCCACTCAGGCTTACGCTGCTGGCAGAGGCTGGCAGCGATGGTGGGGTCAGTGGTTCCCCTACCACATGAGCACAGGGCATGCAGTCCCACTGGGGCTACAGTGGCAAAGATGTCTTCTACCATAATGAGCTTTGACACTGCCTTCTTGTGGACAGTGGTGATCAGCACTACTGACCAGTGCTGTCCAGTACTATTGACAGGTGACCTGCCGTCTGTGTCTGCTTCACCTCTGAGAACTGTCCACTGCTTCTGATCATCCAGGCACTGCCTCCTGGTGGCTGTTGCCTCCATTGCTGTTTGGTCCAGTGTTAGAGACCCCTAAGGCATGGGTATTCTCCCTAAGGAGAATGTCGGGGTCATGTCTGGAAGACTAGTCAGCATAGGCTGAAAGACTGGCCTGTGTCCAGACCACGATGCGCTTTCTTGTGTTAACAAAACTAAGCCTAAGAAACAGGCAAGATTAGAAAGGGAGTAAAATATACATGATAACGCAGAAACTTGGTGGTGAATGTGTGCCTAGGCAAGAATAAATACTAAGAGAATAATTCATTGTCTGGTAACTAACATGGAGGGGAGTGGGGCAATTTGTATCAGTAAAAATGTGTTACACCTGGCACTTGGGAATTTTGTGCACAGAATGAGAAGCCTGGCGTCCCCTGGGTCCCACTTCTCTTAAACTCAATTTTTTGTCTGTCAGTTCTTTGTTTCTCAGTGCTTTCGGAGTGCTTTCCTCAACCTTGTTCACCAGAGCTGCTCTCTGGCAGTCTGACATCCAATGATGTCCAGTCCCACTTGCAGACAGTGGCTGTGGGCTACTTTGGTGTCATCTCAGAAACTCCATCTGGATCACCTTCCATTGCCACCTTGAGTTGTATCCCGATCCACTGCTTGCTGGTGTGTCACGGTCTCAGGCCTTTGTTGATGGGACAGGGCCATCTTGAATGAGCAGCCTTTTGTTTGGTACTCCTGGACAATGTGGACACAATCTGGGGTGAAACAGCCTGCCATTCTTGGAATCAAAAACCTTTTTGATTCTCCTGTTGGTTGAATAAATCCCCTTGTTATTATTCCCTAAGCCTGAATGCTTTTTAAGCACTCTTAGAAAGTAAAAACAAAACAAAACAAAAAAAACCTACTCATCAAAACAAATTGTCAGTACATCAGATAATACAATCAGTTACTGAAATATAAACCAGAACAAAAAGTCTTCATTAAGAATTGAGAGCCAGTGGATAAAGAACTCTATAGAAAATAAAAACAAAGGCCTGTTGGAAGAAGAAATGTCCCATGCTGCATAGGGAAAAAATGGTAAAGGAAATAGGGACAATACAAACACCTGTCAAATCTGCTTTGAGGGAAACATGAGTACTGAGAATTTCCCCATTTTACTCTAAATTTCCAAGAGATATTATTTGATATTATTTATGAATATGGATAGTCAACAATTTAATTTTCTTGTTGGCAGGGTGTCATTGCATAGAATTCAGATCCTCACAGTACATTATAAAAAGGGGGGGCAAATGAAACAATATGAAAAATGAAAGATAACACAAATGATATTTAAGTTATAATTTCTTATAAAAGATGAACTTGAAAGTGGACAATGGTTAGAAGGGCCTACTTCTATGCACATCCTCCCCAACATTTGCTGTTCTGTTTTTTTTTTTTTAATTTATTTATTTATACAAGCACTGGGTACAGTCAGAAGTGCGGGAGGGTGAGAGAATTCACCAGAGCCAGAGAGGGGAGCAGAGCAGGCAGAAGGACCGAAGTACACTGCTGAGGGGAGCAGCGGGTGGCAGGAGAGGTCTGCATGCCATGCGGGACCCTCCTCCAGTGGCCATGCGGGACCCTCTGCCATGCGGGACTCTCCTCCAGTGGCTGGGTAGCAACCGGGGATTGAACCGGCGCTGCAGAGGCTGCAGGAAGCTTCGCAACCCAGTGCTCAACCGCTGCGCCACCGGGGAGGCCCACATTTGCTGTTTTTTATCTTTTGGATAATATCCATTCTCCCAGGTGTGATGTTTGTATTTTCCAAATAATGATAGATGGTGAACATTATTTCATGTGTCTATTGGGCATCTGTTTATCTTCTTTGCATATGTGTTTGTGTAAATCTTCTGCCCATTTTTTAATTGGGTTACTTGTATTTTTGCTGTTGAGTTTCATAATTTCTTTTTACATTTTGAATATTCACCCCAATTGTTGGACATATGATATGCAAATATTTTCTCCCATTCAGTAGGACGTCTTTCTGTTTTCAGACAAGTTTTTTTTCACTGTGCAGAAGTTTTTTAGTTTGACAAAGTCCCATTGCTTTTGTCTCCCTTTTTGTTGGAGTCAAGTCTTTAAATATATCTCTAAGTTCATTGCCAAGTTGTGTATCACCCATATTTATTTCTATGTATTTTATAAATTCAAGGTTTTTTTAAGATTTATTTATGCATACAAGAACTGCGTGTAGGCCAGAAGTGTGGGGAGTAAGAGGATTCACCAAAGACAGAGTGGAGAGCAAAACAGGAAAATCTACTGAAACATCTGCAGAGGGGAGCAGGGAGTGAGATGGAAGTGGGTTAGCTCCCTGGCCAGGGATCAAACTCATGCCTCAGCGACTGGGGTTAGTTACATAGTGCTGAGACTTTAACACCTACACAACCAGGGAGACCCATAGTTTCAAATTTTACACATGAATATTTTAATTCATTTTGAATATAGTATTTCTGTATGACATTAAGTAATGTATTTCATTGCATGCAAGCAAGCAACTGTCCAGTTTTACCAATACCATCTGTGGAAGAGATTTACCTTTCTCCACTGTTTGCTCTTGGCTCCTTTATCATAAACTATTTCTCCATGTAAGTATGGCCTTATTTCTGTATTCCCAATTATTTTCCCTTAATTTGTCTATGTGTTTTTTTTTAATAGCATGATTTTCTAATTACTATTGCTTTGTAGTATACTTTGAATCTTTGTGCACTGTGGAGGGAATATAAATTGTGCATGCTTTATGATGATTATTCAAAAAATTAAAAAAATAATTTTCATGTAATTAATTATCTTACTTTGGGTATATACCAAAAAAAAAAGGAATATATGTATCCACATATCTATTACAGAGATACGTACAATACCCAAGAGCTGAAAACAATCTAAGTATCTGCTAACAGAGGAATGTGTAAATAAGATGTGGCATATACACAGAATGAAATACTATTCAGCTATAAAAAATGATGAAATAATTTGCAGCAACATGGTTGGACCTAGAGGATATTATGCCTTATGAAATAAACCAGGCAGAGAAAGACAAACAGTATGACTTCACTTATGTGTGGTACAAAGAAAAAAAAAACAAACAGCTGTATTACTGAAATAAAACAAATATATTTTTATTTATTTTTTAAAAATTTTTTTTAAAAACTTTTTTTTTTAAAGATTTATTTATTTATTTGTTTGTTTGTTTATACATACAAGCACTGGGTACAGTCAGAAGCGCGGGAGGGTGAGAGAATTCACCAGAGCCAGAGCGGGGAGCAGAGCAGGCAGAAGGACCGAAGTACACTGCTGAGGGGAGCAGTGGGCGGCAGGGAAGGTCTGCGCGCCATGCGGGACCCTCCTCTGGTGGCCGGGGAGCAGCCGGGGATGGAACTGGCGCCGCATAGACTGCGGGCAGCTTCGCAACCCAGCGCTCAACCGCTGCGCCACCGGGGAGGCCCCAAAACAAATATATTTTTAGATTTTAAGACCAACTAGTGATTACCAGAACGGATAGGGGAAAATGTTGGATAAGGTGGATAAAAGGGTACAATTGTATGATAAAGTATATAATTAAACTTTTAGTGTTGGATTTAATGTAATACAAGCACACATATAATTACATTGTGTACATGTTGACTTTTAATAACAGTCAGCTGAACTTATATTATGATGAAAAGTTGATTCAATGACAAAAATTTAAATTGTAGATAGTATGTAAGAGGAAGGTGTGGAAGCCTTGACAAGAAAATGTGTTACTTGCTTTGGTTGATAGAACCATCTCAAGAAGATGGAAATTCCAGGATTCTAAATCCTTTCCCATATCCAAGCTATAACTTACTTGGTGACCATTATAAAAAAGAAATACATTTTTTATCTTGTTTTGAAAACCACAAAATATAAAAATATGGCAATATTTCTAGTCTGAAAAGCAATTTTCCCACTATGATCCTATAGAGAATATTTTTTCTTAAATATTTTACTTCCATAAACATATTATTGTTGATCTTGACATTTTTATACATGCACTATGTATGATTAAAAAAATAAATTAAAAAAGAAAAATTATCTACGTTCATATAATTCCTAAGGGGAACATCTCCATGGATACAAATGAAATATATGTAACAATACATGAGTCCAGGTAGATTCTTCCAAGATTTTCATAATCCATTTGTGTGTAAATTCAGGTTAGACTCCAGGATTATTAACAGCATGACACACATCAATCACCTGTCTTTCTCATAGGCTATTTCCTCTTCTCACAGCAATTTCATTCTTAGAAAAATTAACCACAGAATCTTCAACACCAGATAACCATTAAATATAGTGGTACCACATACACTGTAAATCCTATTGCTAATTAAAGAAAATTGATAGCCCTGAACTGCAAACTGCAAACATACATATATATTTATATACATGCATGCATGTATGTGTGTGTGTATATGTGCTTTTTCTTTTCCTGAGCCATCCTGGAGGGACAGAGCAGTTAAATATGAAAGTGCATCACCTCACTCAGGCTTCGGGCACCTCACATCGGTCAGGGCCAACACCAGAGCACTAAGGAGCAAACTATGCTTTCCTTCCTTCTTTCCCTCCCTCCCTCCCTCTCTCTCTCTCTTTCTCTCTGAACTACAACTTTGAAGGAGTTTAAGTTGGACCCCAGAGAGTTGGACCCCAGAGAGAGCATCCCTTTCAGCCTCCCAGCACCCCACAGTGAACCAGGCTAAAACACCCATGGCCAGGACCTCCCCTGGTGTCGCAGCGGTTGAGCGCTGGGCTGTGAGGCTGCCCTCAGCCTCTGCAGCGCCAGTTCGTTCCCCGGCCGCCAGCGAGGGTCCCACCAAAAAAAAAAAAAAACAAAACAAAAAACACCCACCACATCTCCTCAAGAGCCCACAGAGTCCTGAGCCACAATTTCTCTCTTTTTCTATTTGATTATTCCTCTTCTGTCTCTTTTTTTTTCTTTTTCTCTTTATTCCTTTCTTCTCCTTCCTTTATTTTCTTTTTCTTTTCTTTCTTTTTTTTCCTAATCT